AAAAAAAAAAGAAAAAAAGAAAAGAGCAGACAGAAAGGATATGTATATCTTTCCCTTTATATTCACCAGCTCACTGCCTTTTAGAATCTGTTTTATGGAGGGGCATGGTGGCTCACACCTGTAATCCCTGCACCCTGGGAGGCTGAGGCAGGTGGATTGCCTGAGTTCACAGGTTTGAGAACAGCCTGAGCCAGAGTGAAACGTCATCTCTAAAAATAGCCAGGCATTGTGGCAGGCACCTGTAGTCCCTGGGAGGCTAAAGCAAGAGAATCACTTGAGCCTAGGAATTTGAGGTTGCCATGAGCTATGATGCAATGACATTCAACGGCAGGTGACAAAGTGAGACTGTCACAAAAAAAAAAGAAAAGAAAAAACAATCTGTTTTATAGCCTCAAAGAGTTCCTGAAGAGTCCTTGAACTTATAATAGGGTGCAAGTTTCAGGCCTCAGCCGTATCTTTTTTTTTTTTTTTTTTGCAGTTTTTGGCCAGGGCTGGTTTTGAACCCACCACCTCCAGCATATGGGGCTGGAGCCCTACTCCTTTGAGCCACAGGAACCACCCCCCTCAGCCGTATTTTAAGGGCAGAATCACCAACAGGATCAAAACCACCTGTGATAAGCCTATGTCCAATAGCAAGGCAGCTGCTTATCATCCAGCCACTGAGAAGGCAGAAGGAGCAGACGCAGCAGTTTCACAGTGCCTTGTTAATTGGGCTACAATCACTACTTTTCAGCACTAGCTTTTCTCTTATTTATTTATTTTTTTGAGACAGAGTCTCACTATGTCACCTTCAGTAGAGTTCCATGGTGATACAGATCCCAGCAACCTCAAACTCTTGGGCTGAAGAGATTCTCTTTCCTAAGCCTCCCAACTAGCTGGGACTACAGGTGCCTGCCTGGCTATTTTTTTTGTTGTTGTAATTGTCATTTGGCAGGCCCAGGCTGGGTTGAAACATACCAGCTCCAGTGTATGTCCCTAGCCACTGAGCTACAGGCACCAAGCCACTTTCTTCTCTTTCTTTAGAAGGCCACACCATCTCCCTGCTTTCTTTTCTCCCTCTCTTACTTGTTCTCTTCTTTTAAGAAGATAAAATACATTTTATACTTTTTTTCTGAGACAGAGTCTCACTTTCTTGCCCCCACAGGCTAGAGTGCTGTGGCATCACAGCTCACAGCAACATCAAACTCTTAGGCTCAGGCCATTCTCTTATATCAGCCTCCCAAGTAGCTGAGACTCCTGGCACCTGCCCAATGCCTGGCTATTTTTAGAGATGGGGTCTTGCTCTTGCTCAGGCTGGTCTCAACCCTGTGAGCTCAGGTAATCCACCTGCCTTGGCCTCCCAGAGTGTTCAGATTACAGTGCCTGGCCTAATTTTTTTTAAGACAGAGTCTTACTCCATCGCCCTTGATAGATTGCCATGGTGTCCTACCTCACAGCCATCTCAAACTCTTGGGCTCAATTTGAGGTTGCTGTGAGCTGTGATGCCACCACACTCTACCAAGGGTGACATAATGAAATTCTGTCTTAAAAAAAAAAAAATCTTGGGCTCAAGCAATCCTCTTGCCTCTTGATTAGCTGGGACTACAGGTGTCTGCCTCTATGCCTGGTTAGTTTTGTTTTGTTTTGTTTTTGGCTGGGGCTGGGTTTGAACCTGCCACCTCCACCATATGGGGCTGGCACCCCACTCCCTTGAGCCACAGGTGCCGCCCAGCCTGGCTAGTTTTTTGTATTTTTAATAGGAAC